GTGTGTGTGTATGTGTGTATGTATATGTATATGTGTATATGTATGTGTATGTGTATGTTATGTATGAGTGTATATATGTAATTGAGTATGTATATTTATATGTATATGTATGTATATGCATATGTATATGTATATGTGTATGAATATGTAAATGTATATGTATATGTAGCTGTATATGTATATGTATATGTATATGTATATGTAGATGTACATGTACATGTATATGCATATGTATACGGCTATGTATGCTTAAATTTTAAAACCGTCCTGATGCTCCTTTTATCTCATGATATTGTGCTTTGTACAACTGTTTACCGACAGTACGCGACCCCGACTTCCAGGCGAAAGCTCTGGTGGAGTACATCTGTGAGCCGCCCGTCTCCTCACCAGAATACGACACGCCCAGAAAACAAGCAAGTACCATCCCCACACGCACAACCAAGCAAGCGCAAGAGCAGACACACACACAGGGTCAAGCTTCTCAGGATAGTTCGTGTGGCACAGACATTGAGAAGCCAGTCGACTCCCTTGGGGGCGCGAGGACCCGTCCTGCGGGTGCCAAGGGGTCAAAGTCCGCCACAGCACAGAACATATTCGAAACAGGTGAGTGCTAATGCACACAGCTATCGCATGCGACACTACGCAGGCGTGTTTGAGCACAGAGTATATTCGAACAGGTTAGTGGGATGGAGCACAGGTGACTCATTCGGCACTATGGAAACGTGTATTAGCACAGAACACGACACGTGTGATTTTCTATTCACAAATGTGACATGCTACCTTACAGAAACGTGTACGTTGTTCTTATCACATGCGTGTCTGAGGCAACTTCAGAAATGGCGTGAACATGTTGCAAGTGTTTGCGGTCAACGGTTGAGAGAAATTTATGATATTTATCTACGAGCCGGAAGTGTATGTAGTCATCGATTCTTAGCACTCGCGTGGGGGAGAATTTAGACGTTCAGGCGTCTAAAACATACTTGGTAACCCCCCACACTCATGGCGTGGATGTCAAATCGTACTAAGACTCTTTTCTTTATCATACACCGCACCTCAGAGAAACTCAGGAAGCACACCGAACAGGATACAAATAGCACACCCACACCCACCGACACCGTTGCAGCCGAGCCCGCCGATTCTCCTTTGGAACGGGGCAACACACCTAACAGCAATGCTCTGAGTACGGAGCTTAGCAACACCACTGCACAAGCAGAAGACCCCCATGTAGCCAGCAAACGCAACCCCGCACACCTGTTGCAGGCTATCAGTGCACTCTCCAATCTCATCTCGCATTACCAGGGCGTAGAGGTGTGTGGCTTATCGTGAGAGCGCGTGATGTAGTGCGCATGATGTAGTGCGCATAAATACTAATACGTATTCGCTGTATATAGGTATAGACACCAGATGGTTCTCAGTCACAAAGATGTAAACTATGTTCGTCTTATTGGTCATTACTGATTCGCACACTCGCCAGCTTACGCCACTGACGTCTTTGCCTTGCACCACAAGGCTGTATTTTGTTAAAGTACAATCCGGTTCTTTTTACACTACCGATGTATGTATGTGTGTAGATGCATGTTATGTATGCAGTTGGTGTTTGATGTTTCACAACAATTCTAACAGTTTGCTATATAGATGTACGCAAGCAATTGTAGAGTGCAGCCTCGTGCCCGTACGTTCACTAATCGCCTGTGGCTGGCCACTTCCATGCTTGCGCTGTGTGTCCTTTCGCGGCAACATTCTAAACGGTCGAAAATTAAGGACATTTTTTTTTGCTGCAGATATGCCCACAGTCATCTGCCGCTGCTCCTTGCCAGTTTCCAATCCCCCTTCCAGATCATCAGAACTTCTGAGCTTAAATTTATGTTTGATTATCGTCTCAACTTGATTCCCCATTTGACTCTTACAGCGACATACCATCGGACATTACCCTCAACTGGGCACATACCTGCATGTGGACGAGTCTGCAGACGATCTCAAACAGCAGTTGGCTGTGGTGCTTGCTATGCTCCAAGTATGGATGTGTATATATACATGTTATCACATGCACAGTTCTACATCCTTGAAAACACACACATACACAACACTATA